TTTTCCAAGACGGTATCCGTAAAGCAAATCAGCGAAAGAGCAGCCTGTGGCCAAGTATCTGTCAAAATAAAAATGGTTATTGTTTATTTTCAGGTGGTACACTTATGAAAAAATGGAAAAGCATTCGGGACAATTATCTTAGAGAGTAAGAGGCAAAAAAAGCTTCCATCTGGATCTGGATCTTCCAAACATACGCCATATGTGTATTACAGGAAATTACAATTTCTTGCGAATTCTACAGCATATAACGACACAGAGAGCAATTACCAATCTTCTGGCACAACTGGTTCAGATGTAGATAATATTATAGACAATGCAGACTTGATGCCACCTCCTAAAGATCAAATGGAAGGCCCAAGGAAAAGACAGAAAATAAATGCTGTAGATAAACAAATAGTCGACATTTTACAGAAAAGCTTAAATGCAAGGAAACAAAATGAAATGGGGCGACTAACTAAAGAAGACGATGATAAACTATTCTGTTTATCATTGTACAGTGAATTAAAAAAAATGCCCGAAAATCGACGCTTAACTACAAAGATTGAATTACTCAATGTCATTAAAGAAGCACAGAATTATCATCAATCATTACCACTAGAAACTAATCATCGTCAATACACATATTCTACACCGACATATTCTGGATATATTACTGCTAGACCCTCAACAACACAACAGTGGTCTACCACGCCGCCACCACCGCCGTCATCATTGTCACCGTCACGTTTAGCCTCCAGCCAAGATTCAGACAACTTAAATTTATTTGAATAAACAAATATACTTACCTTAACGTTATCACGAGTTTTTCTTCTGCGGAAATCGAATCTCTCAAAATCGTTGAATCACCAGTAATATCTACTTTAATAACATGGAGTAAGTCATCAAATGATTTTATGGACATTCTAAAATAATTAAAAAACGTAGGTTAAACTAAACTAGCTAAACTTAATTTTGGATACAATGTTACAAACATTCCATGCGTCAGTCTATCTCGTAATATTGGGTGCACCCAATATTCTCTTTGCCTCTGCCGTCGTCTTTTATAGCGACGGTATAGAAGCCACACACAAGCGATCACTTCGAAGTCCATTTCCGAACTGAATTAGTAGTATGGACACTTCCCTATATATAATGTACTCTGTGATGGACACCTTGGTAACGCTCGTTAAACGCCGTGCTAAGCGCGCTGTATGTATGCTACAAGCGCGCGCCCAACGCAACGCCGAGCGCCCAATGTGTACCCGCTCTTAGGTTTAAACTTGTGGCACGTGCCATTCATTTAGCTTCCTGCGGAATAAACCGTTTTTTACGTTTTCACATTACGTTCTCATTTCGTTTTTGTTCCGAACAAAATGTTATACAAGGAACCGTCCCAAACGTTTTAAAAACGTTATTTTAATAACGTTTCCGAACCCTGTCTACCAGTACTTTCGCGATTTTAGATCAATTTGATAGGAAGATCTAGTGTTTGAAGACACTGCCCATGGTGCATTGGGCATAGAATTTCTTGTCGCGATCTATCTTTTTGTGTTCTCTTCACAAATACAATATCATGAGTTCATGAAGGCTTATGAACTGTTGTCAGAACCATTACATTCCTGGTTTAGTGCCATTTAAAAGCAGTTTGTGGCTCAGATGTCATTGCTGCAAATTGGTGCTTCTCCAGTTTTAAGTGCTTATGCTGAGTTTTTTTTCATAATGTTCGGGAAATATTATCGATCACTTTGTATTGTTCTCACAGCCTAAATTAATTTACTTTCTTAGTACATATTTACATTACTTTGTTTTATTTTAAATATATTATTGACGCCACCCTCGGGTGTTTAAGTAATTTGTAGAGTCGTTTAAAAAATATTACAATTATTAAAAACAAATACATTGCTAACAAGGATTCTATGCGAAATCGTGGGTACAGCTAGTATATACATATATATCGATAGAAATTATGACTTGATATATTTTGCATCCGAAATAGTGCAATGAATCATTAAAAATATTAATGTCTTTGTAATGTTGCTGAAGATGAATATTCTTATTCAGGATAATTAGTTAAAGCCGAGGCCATGGTGTATCCTAATACCCTAAATACAGTCATTTTACATATCAATATCCACCTCAAACCATTATTTAAACAAACAGGAGCATTAATCCGCCGACGGGCAAGATGTCGCCAAAACTCTCAATTATTATAGATTGTAAAAAACATGGAGGCAAAATTGAATTTCGAACATTCGTATTTTAAGCATTTTTTCAAAATAAATTAAAACTATAATAAAATACAGTAGTCCGTTTATTATGACTCCGCTTATATTGACCAACCGCTTATTATGACGTAATTACACAGCGGAGTTTGGTTTGCATATAAAATTCTTTATAATAAAGTCGGATATAATGACTTCGCTTATAGTGACATGTCGCTTATTGTGACCCATTTTTACTCATGATTCCTAACACCTTCAGCAGTGTTCAGGAGAGTCAATTGATACCCGACGACGTTCGGCGCGTGCATGGCTTCTTTTTTGTTTTGAGTCTCAGTGGGTAAATGATTGTTGAAGGTCATTGTTTGTTAGTAATTTGTGAAAAAAATGAGATCTCAACGTCAGTGCACGTGCAATTTAGAAAATAGAGAATCGAACTCATCTCTTGCAAGGGAATTTGGGGTTAGTCACTCGACAATCTCAATGATTTTTAAAAACTAGAATTTTTTATTAAGAATTTAAGTTACTTTAATTAAAGATTTTTCTCTATTAAAATAAATACATACTAACAAAAACTGGAGATTGTTTATTATCTACAAAATGCTTTATATGACGTCCGCTTAGTATGACGTGTTTGTTATTTCCCTTCGATGTCATTATAAACGGATTCCACTGTATGTTTCTTAAAAAAAAAAACGTTTTTCCGTAATTTCTGCGCGTTCCAATCGTATTTCTAATCGATCTTTATATGTATTATGTATTTCTTATCATTTATATCGATAAACATAAATGTCGATTTATTTTAAATTAGTAATAATGATAGTATGGTATAATAAAATTCAAATTAGTTGATCACTTTCTTTATTTTTTATGTTATCAACAAGAAGTATTGTGTCAATAATAATTATTATAATAATACTTACACTGTATGTACTGCTAATAATTGATAGGCGTTACAAATTGTCAAAGTATACAACTTTTTAAGTTACAGTTATGCCTGTTCCAAATTTATTTATTTTTCGCATAATTTTCGCACACATGTTACTCTCCCTAAAATTATTTCATCACAGATTTATCATGTACTTATTAATTTGTTTTTCCATACAGAAATGTGATAGGGCGGAACATGACCTTAAACTGTGGAGTATAAAAACTGCTACATTTATACAATAATCCAAAATGCTATAATTTGTAACACACTTAATAAACGCCAATGAAGTAAGATGTCGTAGGTTACGAAGTTCTAGGCGTTTCTTAAATTAGATATCAACTTCAGAATAAGTTAAAAATAACTTGATTGAATTTTTCATAATATTTACAATGATAATAATTTTTTTGCGATATGCATAATATGATTTAATAAATTTTCCTAATTTTTTATTACACTGTATAAATAAAAACATAAATTGTTTTAAAAATTATTGAAAATAATTGTACAATAATAAAACATATTTTGGGTAGACAAATATTGGCAAACATAACAACGAACAAAAAATGTACATACTAAATAATAATAGATAGAAAAAATATTTCCTAGCGTAATCTCAAAACATTGTAATGACAAAACGCAACACAGTTTCAAGAGCACAACAATATAAAAGTCATTACAGTGATGTTATCAAAATATAGTATATAATAGTGATGCTGCTGCTACTGGATATGCCACAGTGGACTTTAGGATGAACAAGTAGACACAAATTCAATTCCCATATTGAGGAAATGAATATAATGGAACATAATTGTAGCACTATAATAAATTGCTCGTAATTTTGTTTTAACTGCTTAATTATTAGTGAAGTGAGAAGAAATATTTAGAAATAAGACTTTATTTTACCTGGATAAATAAAGCAGTGGCTGTATAAAAGGGCTTGATTTTAAAAGCACGTATTATGTAATATTCCTTGGAATAAGTACAGTTTTGTGTGATTGTCGTTCAACCCTATGATGGTCGTCTGTGCATCACGACACATTCATCTACCCTTGCCTACAGATACAGATACGCATGTATACTATTGCACACATAAATCAAATTATACTAACACCCTACATTATATCATGGTAACTACATCTCGTTAATTTATTAGTTATAATAATAACACTATCGAGTTGCTGAGAAGCACTCTTCAACTATAGCTATCTAACCCAAAACCTTTCACCAACGTTAAATAGCACCCATGAGAATATCATACATTTAAAGCGATAATTAAATTATTTACACTATGTACACAATTTACAAAGAAATATTTGAGAGTTACTCTACAATCTCTCTCTTTTCCACTCAAGTGACGTGAAAATATATTGGTTATGTAATAATGGCTGCCTAAAATTATACAGTCTCATAAATCGAATATTCCTTGTTTGTTCCTTATGAGATACATTCTTGTTCATTACGATAAATCAGTCAAATCAGATTGGTTTGAAGATCTTGTTTGGAATAATTGCTGTTAATGACACATTTTAAAATTTTGTTGTATTTGGTATTTGATAATATGCATGTGTTCACATCTTAATTTTAGGAGTCAATTTTTGTATTATATATGAAAATATTCTTGTTATAAAAAATTATCATGCCGGTAATAATACAGACATCATAACTTGACAACAAAAAGTAACAAGCGTTCACTATTGCCCGTAAAGAATGATAAAATATTGTATTAGTTTAGGAACTTGTCTTGTGTAAAAAAATATCGATTTTTATATATGCGTCAATCTTTTTAAATGAGCAATTCAATGTTTACGAAGATCTTTTAGGATATCGGTAATATAATATACTGAACACAAAGCTAGGGGTTAAATTTAATATCAGCTAATTAGTACAGTTTCAATCTTTAGGAGTTGCCTCAGCTTGTCCGTGACCCTAATTAGAGCTACTTTGGAAGCTCGCACATTTACTTTCTCTCCGGCGCACAAAAGTTGATGGCATTGTGCTCTCTCTAGGAACTCCTGAGTCCGGATCTCGCGCAGCAATTCCTTGGGTGATCCCGAGCCGCAGTGTATTTGTTTTAGTAGACTCTCTTTCGATTTTATCTGAAATGAAAAACAAAAATGTGTTTTCACTACAACAATACTAAAGTTGGCTTGATCAAAAAAAAAATATATATACAGGTAGCTAAGATTTCGTATTTTACCTTCTTAGTTATGCGGTCATTAACTTATCAAATAGCTAAGTGAGAGTGAGATGACAATGTAAGATAATCAGCAAAGGCGACAATACACCGGAAATCGTGTACTACCCATACAGTTAAGACAAGTGAGTGTATCTGTATTATAGCTAGGCCTGCCACCCGTACTATAATATATAGTACCGTACTATATTTCAGTCAATTGTACTATATATTATAAAAATAATATAGTACGAAAAATACTATATTTCATCTCTAATTCAACTGTCGCGCTTTTTTATATTAACTGTGCCTGGAAGTTTGGAACAAGTAAGTTTTACGAAAAGAATGTTTCCGTCATGAACGTAAAATGGAAAGAAGAAAGAAATAGATTTTTTCGATTTATTTTCTTTTTTCGAAAACTTTTTCACATTATGTTAAAAATTTTTATACGCGGCAGAGCTACGCTGCAGTCATATTGTGGTTGTAGCACGAATGGGTCGGCTCGACCCGGGCAGGATAACGCTCTCACAGAATACCAGCGTAAAAAAACAGCTTAACGCTGCCGTGTTTCGTATGGTGAGTGTAGAGAACCGGAGACCCTTTTTACTGGAAACATGGCATTCTAAAGATAGACTAAGAAGTCCGCAGGGGTGACAACGCATTCTGCATTTTGATTCATAATCGATAATAGTTGTAGATTTTATTGGATGTTTATTGGGCCACAGCATCCATTTACTATTAGGTGGCTGGTGTGCTTGTATGTCACCCCTGTTCTATAAAATAAAAAAATTAGAAGCTGTGTACATGATCGAAATTGGTTTCGAAAACGTGATCATCCATGAGTTTATAAAAGCAAACAAGTGTTTTTTATATTAATTAAAAGTTTTTAAATTACCTATATAAATAGTTATTTTATATTGAAAGAAAACAAAATCTAATTTTGTTGTTTTTTGTATATCTAAAAATAGTGAAATTTTAATGACAATACTCTTTGGTCTTTTTGTATTGATTCGATTTTTAGTATTTTAGACTTTGCAACATGTGTTTATGATGTGTAAGAACGTAAAGAACATACCACGTAACACATAATCGTGCGTATTATCTATTGGTTTTACAATACAAATACAGACAAAAAAGTATTCACCTGTAATACGTTAGTGACGTCTTGCAGCAAGCACCACAATCCGTCTGCTGGCTGGCCAGAAGTCGAACGCAGACTGTAAAATGGCGGAAGTGGCGCCTCCGTAGTTTGTATTTCGATAGTTGAATCTGGTGGCGGTGGGGGCGAGGCGGGAGGTGGTGATGACAAGGGATCACAGCCGAGTTCCTCACGATCTGAAGATAAAAATAAAAAAAATGTTTTTGTTTTGTCTTCAGAGTGGATGAAAAACGAGTCTTTTTATTCATTATATTGTAGAATGGATGGATGGATGTGAACCGTTGATGCAGATTTCTTATTAAAGGTTGACATGATTCTCCTAATTATATTAATAGGGTGCTCTGACTATGTGGAAACAAATAACATTAACCAAAAATTTACCATTTAGCAACGTTATTTTAAATCACTACACCGTACGCGTGTTTGTTATAAAAATATTCGTGTAAATTTAAAGGTGTAATTAATCTATTGTAATAAAGCTGTTTCTCTCACCAATAATGTCAGTGGGAAGGGGGAACCTCCAGGGCTCCACAGCTTGTCCCTGCACATCGGCTATGTGCAGACGTAGCAACAGTTCAGCCGGACCTTCGGCGAGTTCTTCGGGCGTTTGTCCAGCATAAGTTCCCAGAAGAGGGTCCGCCCCGTAAGCTAAAAGGAGACGGATGACTTCCACATGACAGTTCTCGCACGCTTCGTGCAACGGTCTGAAAATTGAAAAGATAACATTTTAATTTCTAACCAGTTCGTCCGCTGGCTTCATTGTAATTAAAATTTAAATGCCGATTTTCTAGAATAAGTCTACCATTTTATGCATTATGTGCATTATGTAAGTACGCAACAGCAGTAGAGACTTTATAATGCACAGTATAAATATCTTTGGTGATTTTTGAATTAATTGACATAATATTTAAGCATAAATGGCCACGTCTGATGTAAACATTCTCAGATTCTTACGTATTTAAATTTAACTTGTATAAATGGAGTTTACTCAAAAATTACTAACTATGAAACTGGATTACCTATCATACATTTTACAGCTTATGCAAACAAAAAAGGGAGCATTTTATTATTTTTTAAATAATAACAGTTTGGGTACTTATTTACATCTTTTTTCTTTCGTTGTATAAGCTTGGCCTTAAGATAAAATGTAAATTGCCATTAACACGTAGATCATTCAGACGTATCAAAAGATACGTATTTTTTGTTCAAATCTGAACCGCAATTAGTCCTGGTAACATATTATGTTACGAAAGTATAAATCTTTTGCGAGGCATTATTTCAACTAATTTTCATTCATAAATATCTAACGCCTACTATTTTACTACGCACGCACACATTCGTAAGGGTCGCTCGGTCGGCAAAAACGTTGTGAATTGAATCGCACTCAGAGGAGCGCGTGTACGCGTAGTTGTTGCCAATAAGTCACATTTAATTTGGGATAGTTTCAAATAAAAGAAGAAGCCTATTTACTCGTATTTTCAAAAACTACAATAACGGTATATTATTATTTATATAAGTTCAAATAACTTAAATATAAAATTTGGATACTCTTTGAAAAATGACCCTGTATAATAATATATACCTTATGCCTCCTTGAGCAGCCGCAGATACATTGGCCCCATATTGAAGTAGTAAACGAGCAATCCGGACATGACCTTTAGCAGCGGCGACGTGTAATGGCGTAAAACCAGCATTGTCTTTCGCTGACGGATCCGCTTCCATTTTCTCTAAGCAGTATGCAACACAATCCTGAAATTTAATTTTTTTTTAACAATCTTTCATTTCCTAAGTAAAATAGAAATTTTCTCTAAGGGACGATTTACACTTCGACAAGTACAGTAGTTTAGTTACAGGGAAGTTGACAGTAAACGGTTAAGTAAGTGTGCAGTAGCGTTCAAAAATGTCTTCGTGGCGATTTTAGTTAAAAAAAGTTTAAACTAAACTTGCCAAAGTCAGTATCATATTTTGAGGGTCGAACGCGAACACATTGCATCCAGTCAAATTATGAACTGAACTAAACTTTATCGTTCACACGAGCACCGAGTTTAGTGGCGTTTGGCGGGAGACGCGTGGGAGGCCAACACTGCGAACTTAACTCGCCGAAAAATAGCCCGGCCGGCTATTCTGTTAGACTTAATTGTTAATTTTCTACTTAATTCACTGATTGCCATTCAAACGAGATTTTTTACTTAACTCGCCAGGTTCGCATGTTAACTCGCTACTGAACTTGTCGAAGTGTAAATTGGTATTTAGGCAAAAATTGTTATTACTTACAGTAAATCCAAGTCTGGCAGCTCTGTGCAAGTGTGTTTCTCCAATACTTTTATTAATAAACCAACTTTTAATCTCTTTTTGTATATCATGGACGGACTCTGGACTTGGCTTCGGTGCCGGCCGGCGAATCTTATTGCAATTATTGTCTTCTTTCTTTATCATTTTCTTCTTTTTCCGTATGTAATCAAATCCTGAACTAAATTTTCTTCTTCCAAATAAGCGTTTGAATCTTCTTTTCGTATTTACTTCAGCTGTTCCTGGTGAAGTACCTTGTTGTTCCTTTGCTTCTTTGTCGTCCGGCGTGGGACTCTTTTCTTTCTTCACCTTATTGGTAGAAGTCTCTTTTCGTTTCGTATTAAAAGTTTTCATTAAATTATTTCTCTTTTTTAATCGAAGCATTCGTCCTTTAGCGTCATTACGCTTTAGAGATTTAGTACTTCTTAATCCATCTCGAATGGTGCTAGACCTCCGTTTGAGTTTTTCTTTTGCAATTTTCTTCGACTTAAATTTTGGCTTTTGCTCTGGTTCTTTTTTCACTTCGACTATCCTTTCTTCTTCTTTTTCATGAATTTCTTCATCTCTGCAAGATGTAGGTGGAGCTGATGCTGGTCTTTCATCCCCAAACACTTCTTTCATAGTAGCTCTTTGTTTTAATACTCGACTTTCAGTTCTTGTTCTGGATTTTAATACAACCGGGGCAAATTCTTCCGTGGCTCCTATTAACCCTTGCGTGTTCTCGATAAAAGCATTTCGAAAAGCAGTGACTGTCTCTTTTCTAAAGGCTCCTAAATAAAATATATCTTCCATTAATTTTTCTTTTTTAGCAATTAGGCTCCCTTTATTACCGTTTTTCAAAAGACCTAAGCTTGGGGTAGGCAATAGTTCAGAAACATTAGTATTTTTTTGAATGATCTTGGGAGTTTTCTCATCTTTATCTTTAGATTTCTTTTTTGAGTCATCTTTCTTTCCACATTTTTGTATCAGAACATCTACGATAGAACTAGATTTCTTCTTAACTTTGGTGGCAGAGAAAACTGTAGATGTTGATGCTTCTGAGTCGTATTGAAGACGATTTGGTACTGAGCAACTGGAATTCGAATCTAAATCACTGTCTAAGTTCATCTTATCGGGTCGTCTTGCGTATAGATCATCAGTAGCTGCAGATTGGGCCGAGGATGGAGCGGGTGATAGTGGAACCGGATCCAAGTCTGGAAGGGAAGTTGAACCCCTTGTGAACAATGTCCCTGGCCCATTTACAAACGGTCCACCTGAACGTCCACGAGGAATTGCTATTAATCTCGTGGGCATACGTAGAGATCTTTTATATCTGTATAACTCCTCTTCCCATCCTGGGTGAAAATCTGAACCATCCCCAAAGCCAGGCTTCCGCACCGGTGTTGAGCTATTACTTGCACTACTTGTGTCTTGTTTTTTTGTTGGAGATGTTTTCACAGGAGTTTTATTAACTTGTGAACTCCTATTATCTTCTGATTTGGTGCCTTTTCGCATGCGAAGCCTTCTTGCAACACTCATATCATCGTCTTCACTGTCTGAACTTGAGTTTTCATTTCGTTTTTCAGCTTTACTATCGGTAGAAGATGATTTAGCCTTTGATTTCGACACCAATCTATTAGTCTTTCCTTTACTTTGTTTATCCAATTTATCCTTGGGTGCTGTCTCTGTAGACTTTCTACTATTAACGCTCATGCGTTCATCACAGCATTCCAACTTAACGTACGCCGATTTTTCAGATAAATCCTTTAGCATCTGATAATTAAGTTCCCTTTGCACCTTCTCTTTCAGTATTTTACTTTTTATCAATGGTTCATCATCATCTGTCGATTCTGCTTCTTCCTTAATTACCGTTTTAATTGCTTCGTTGGCGTTTTTGTTTAATATTCCAGACGAAGTTGGTACAGGTTCTTTCCTTTCACTTTTTGTCTTACTTTTTAGTTTAGATCTGGGTGGTTTTTCATTTTCTTTTTCACCCTTTTTTTCCTTACATGTATTATTTGTATTATTTTCATCTCTTACAATTTGTAAATCAAGAGTCTCCTCCTCAAGATTTAAATTAGCTGTTTCAGTCTCCGTTTTTTCAACGTCATCAATAGGCTCTTGTTTAATTTCAACACTAGAACTTGAGTTAAGTAAAATTTTGTTAACAGAACACTCATCTGATTCAAGTTTTGAGCATTTCTGTATTCTTATTTCGTTTTCTGGATCCAGCGTATCGTTACGTTTTCTATGTGATGTTTTTCTCATACAACCAGTTTTTAGTTGCTCCATAAAATTGTCACAAGCATTGGCCCAATCTAAATCTTCTGGAGGTGAATCTTCTAGCGATGCAAAATTCTCGGATTCTAATTTTTCTAAAATGTTTTCAGTTTTTATAGGTGTTATAGCATCTTTTTCAATCTCATCAATATTCATAGGTTCTGATTTAACATCGGTGATATATTCATCAATAGGTTTTTCATTTTTTATGACAGACTCTAAGCGTAGATTGTCCTCTCTTATTTGGTTAAAAAGATGTTGCTTTTGAGATTTTGGTAGTAACTTTACCTTGTCAGAATCAGAAGGCGCTATTTCTGGACCCTTATCATGCTTTGCATTATCTTGAGATGGTGGCATTACTTTCAACTCTGCCTTAGTTCTAATTCTGGACGCAACATCGTTTTCTGGAGATTTGCTTTTTGGATCTGTGTTATCGCATTTTGGATAATCTGAATCACGGGCTATAGAATCCACAGCTTTGGGCATTTGAATGTGATTACTTAACGTGGGAATGGTTGAATTTTGTAAAGTTTTGGCATTATTTTTATGTAGTGGTTCAATTTCACCGTCTTTAGTTAAATCAGTTATTTCTATGACGGAATCATCTACATCATCAATAACTATGAGATCTGGTATCTGTCGCGCAGGCTCAGCGCAACCCGTTTGCTTAATCTCTAGACTATTACGCAATATGCTTAAAACGCTCTTATTAGCAGGACCATTTTGTGGATCTATATGATTTGGATGCATTTCTCTATGGCTCGGAATTTTTTGAATCACATGACGACTACTAGACGGAATTCTATCGTGATAGTGTGCATGATATTCACTAATTTCACGATTAGTCTTTTCTGGGTGTAAACTATGGGCATGTCTTTGACTTGTATGGGGACGAGGATGATGCTCGCGATACATATGCGAGGTAACAACTCTTTTTTGGTCATTTTGATAAGCTTCAAATCTTTTATGACTACTGTAGCTGTATACAGGTCTGCTCATTAATTCATGCTGTTCACGAGCTGACTGACTCATACGTTCTATCCGACTGTCTGAAGACCAAGTCTCGTATCTCACTAACTTTTCAGGAATGTTACTAACAATAGGTCCAGCTGAACGTTTACGTTCTTCAATAATTATCTGAGGATCTTCACGAATTCTTTCGGCATATCTTTCATCAGCAGCTGACCTAGTGAGATCAATTCTAGGAACATAATCAGTTCTAGCTTGGACAGGTCCATTATATTTACTACGTTCAGAATAAATTTGGTGTCGAGATTCTACTGAATAAGATTCGGAACTCGGTCTTGAGGTTTCGTAAGCTCCATTGAATCGCATCGATTGAGGGGTGGTAGTATAATTACAATTTGCACTCCTTGATCTGTACTGGGCAAAATCAGGTGCAAAATCTACTTTATGAGATACAACATAACCTGGTACTGGTGGAGCATGCCGGCTACTTGAAGTTGGATGTGTTTGCAATGGAACTGCTTTATTTTCCGAAGATGCCGAATCAATAATATCATCTTGCGTGGTAGAAGAATCAGCTGAATTTTTAACAGTTTTTACAGATAAATCCAGAGGTGATTCTCTTTTTTGTTTAGTTTGGTTCATTTGATTCACTAAAGATGTCACAGAGACTGTCATCCGTGCTTGCTGATTCGCGTAGCCTGCTTTTATTGAAGATCTCGAAGGAGAAGTCTGAACTTGGTTTGTTGCTGCTGAATAATCATAATTTGATTTTGGCGCTACTGTTTGTCTGTAAGATGGTCTTGGTTGAAGTGTAGAATTATTATGAACTATGGGTAGCGGTGCACTAGGAGCATATCTTACATTTGATGTTGAAGGTGACGAATAATTGTAACCAGATCTAGCATCAAGAGACCTACTTTTACTGTGGTAATCTATTCGCGGAGGTATTCGTGTTGCCTCGTTGCTGTGAGACTGGGGATGAGGATGCGCGCGATCTGGAGGTCTCGCAGTGTAACTAGTATTCATTACTTCTATTCCACCATGTTTATATTGGTGAAGCGTTTCAGTGCTATGGCTTTGCATAGATTGCGGCGTGGTGAGGGAAGGTCTGTAGCCAGAATACGCCTGTTGAGGATCATACTTTCGGGGCGGAATTGTAGGATGTCTCTCATAATGACTTGCTCGTGACATAGACGATTCACGTCGATGCATTAAGGGCACGTAAGCTTGTGTTGAGCGTCCTTCTAAGACACCAACTCTTTGAGTCGGGGGCGTCACTTGCGGATGATGTATTGGTGGAACTCTATCATTATGAGGAGGCGGTGGCTGCGTTGGCTGAATCGGATATCGCGACATCGGTGGGCTGTGCGCAACAGATTCACGGAGACGGCTAGCAGTATGCTGCGGCATTACACTTGACAATCTTGCGTAGGTCTGCGGACTGTTACGTGCTGAAGTAGGCTGAGGTGAAGCAATCGGTGGACCATGTGAGCTTCTCCCACCGTCATGTATATTTGATTCATACTGATAGCGAGTGTATGTTTCTGGAGGCCGCGACGCAGAATAGGGATCCGGCGGCCTACTCGGTGCGTACTGATCATGCGGTCTGGCTGTTGGCGTTTGTACACGTTGAACGGACGAGCGATATTGCACATGTTGTTCTAACTGGGGCTCAGACGCGGGCGGTAGCGAGAGTGGCGCGTTAGAAAGAGGCCGCGCTGGTGATGGACAAGGCGCAGCCGGCGCGGGTGCCGGTGATGATAACGTGCGTGGTGTGGGTTTGCGAATGATGTGCGATGGTGGAGATAGCGCACCGATTGCCTCTTCCTCATCATCCGGGTCAGGCATTTCACGCCGTTTCTCGGCTGCTTCGCGCATCACTGTCGCTTTATGAATTATATGGGGCTCTGGTTCAAGAGGCTCCGAAGGAGGCCTAGGTGGAGGTGCGATTGCTGTCGGGCCAGGAGTGGACGGAGGGGCCGCAGCAGCAGAAGGCGGACGTGACGACGGTGCTGGAGCACCTGATAAGGCTGGAGCTCCTTCTTCTGGTGGTGGTGCACCCGCTGGCCAAACAGGTTGACCACTGCCCTCGGCCTGCGCCTGTTTAGGTAGCCCCATAAAATATTGGCGCGTCCCTTCCACCACATTATTGAAACCGTAGTCCATACTCTGCTCTTCGAGTCCTCACCGTCTGAAATTAAAAAAAAAATAGGTAAATTAAAAGAGGACAACAAGTTTAAACCCCATTGCGGCGAAATTACAATTTTATTATTAAAAGTTTAGATGTGATAAACTGTGAGACGATACGTGTTGAGCGTTGTTGAGCGAAGTTTTCGAAGCTAGGGTCGTTAAACGCTGGGTGCCCTTGAGCGTACTTCGCCCTCACGCGCCCATCTATATCTACACGTAGACAGACACGCATACTATGAAAAATATTTTCGCGGCTCACTCGTAGGCTCTAAAGTTTACTAACCTTATCCAAAAACAAAAATTAATTAGCGATTCTATTTTATCTTTGTTCAACTGACGATAAGTTGGTTAGAAAGAAATTAACACCTGTAAACGAACACTTACAGTAGCTCAGTCAATTTTTTCTGTTATAAATTTTAAAACGAGCCGCACGCATAGGTGTGTATTTACCCTGATATAAGGATACAGTGAGCCCCGGCCAGCAAAGGGCGGAAGCTGTCACCGTGGCGACCGCCCCAATCGATTGCATCCCTAGACGAAGCCGCCCACTGTCGCCACGTGGGTTCTGATAAAACTTTTATTATCATCGTGCAATACAACAGATCAACAAGCTACGACTATCGGACCTATAGTTATTGAAAATAAGTCTAAAACATTTGATGTTTAAAACATTAAAAGTATTAAATCAAATCGCTCTTTTAACTTTTTACCGAAAATCTTTAAGTAAAAATTATTTGCTGTTTTATATTATGTGAAAATTAAATATTTTTTACAAAAAATATTAAGGCGTTCTCTACTTCTTCGGAAACGCCCATCAAAAAGTTGATTAAACTTCGAAAAAAGTTGAAATCTGTTGGGCCAGGTATGGAAAATATGGTAGATGAAAATAAGCATCTAGTTTTATATATTCTATGCTAATCTTGCTAACGTTTCTGTCATCAAATATGAGTCACCGTCACGTACGTGAGGTAACCATTCATCAAGCTTTTTTATTGTACCCAGATGCCGCAAATGATCTAATATTGTTCTGACACTTACATCAAAAGCTGATGCAAGCTCAGCCGTCGATTAAGACGGATACGCTTCCACTATTGCCTTCAGTTTGTCATTATCAACCTTCTTCTCCGGGCGACGAAGAGGTTCAATTGCGAGGATCCCGAACGGGTGATTGAAGTTGAACCAATAACGTACAGTTCGTCAATAGCGCTGGGTCTGTATTTAAGTTTATATCAGTGATATTGCTGGCCGTTTGATGCTCTCGTTTCCAAAGCATTACACGAATTTTCTTAGAGTTTATGGTTGTAATTGTGAACATACAGCGAAAAAAAAAACAATGCCGAAAGAAACAAATGAATAACTGGTTTTTCAAAGGGAATAAACTAATTAATGAAAATGATTTTAAGTAAAAACTTATGATATAAAATTTATATAAATCTCGAATTCCAAGTCAAACCCTAGCTTTTACAGTCAGTGAAGAGTTTAACAAAACGGCAATTTCATAGGTAAGGACTTAATGTTTGTGGTTAATTGTGTAAATAAATTGTAATGTTCACGCGGGAAAACTGCCAAAAATATATATTTATACATATAATATCCTATATTTTATACACAAATTCATATACTAAACAAAAGCTGACATGTTGCCAAGCTTTGTCAACAAGTAACATATTAATATAACGCTTTGTGAAAGAGCGATAGACACTCGTTTATTTTATTGCTCTTTTATACTTGTTACACTTCGTGGAATGGAACAGCAAATAAAATAAATTATGTACCTCATTCCATAAATACTTGGAACGCGGAACACAGAATAAGTATATTACAGCCGAAACACAAGCGTGGGTGGTGTGCGGATTCGACAACTTGGACTGGTGGTAATGTTTTAACAGTAAAAAAGGAGAGACTGACAGACGAGGAAGTATTTCGAAATGAGGATTATAAAAGTGTAACGTTTTTAATATCTGAAGAAATTTTGCAGCAGATATTTTTGTTTAGACCCCTGGTAGCGATGTACCGGCCTACACCAAGAATGTTTTAATTGCAATTTTATGTTATTATTATATATTATGAAAACATCGTGTATGTCAGAGAAATAAAATATGAAGAATGTGAAGTTCGACAACGGCACGCTGCTCGAGACTCTCAGAAACGTGCTCAGGAGTAGAACGTACATAGGTTGTAACGTCTTTTTTCTTTCCATTTCTTTGTTATCTTGTTATGTTTTTATAAACAAAATTGTTGAAAATGCAAGGTCTAAAATTATATCGCGAGAACATAATCAAATCTATATTTGACACAAATTACAAAATTGATTGAACGAAAGCCTACAGCAACAATAATACGTAGTTATAATTTATTACAATGTTTATAAAACATTTAAGAGATTCATCTATTGGCAGCTCATTATTGAAATTAAAATAAACGGGAAAACTACGTGGGCAGAAAATTAAGTACAATTTATGAAGATTGTGATTGTGACCTTGATGAGAAGTATTTCGATAACGTGACTCATTCATTTGAGAGGTTCCGAATAGTGGCCGAAAGCTATGGCACGCGTGTATACTTGGAGTTTGTACGTGTCGTGGAATAAACTAAACAATGAGTGAAGCAAAGCTGCGATGAGAGGGAAACATCTAACGTGTACTTCAAAAATTGTTATTTCTAACGGCGTGCGTACAATTTTTATCAAATTATAACTATAATGTAAAAATACTCTAATAAATACTCGAAAATTAATTAAACCACCATTACTAGAGGCCATAAGGTCTTCCCAGTATTTTCTGATTTTACCATATTTTAGTCATTTAGCTATATGCAGTGCGAACTACGTGAAATGAAGATTAAAAAAAAACATAACAACGGTTACTTATAATATATGATGACAACAATATCTAATTGTTTTATTTAAATAATATTATGTCACTTACAATGGTAACAATCGATTAAATTATGCTCATTCGTGATACCGGGGAACCTGGAAATGTATTTCTATGGCTCAAGCCAAGCTATAGAAGTATAATTTCCAGGTTGAACCTACATAAAAGCCGCTTACGAATGCATTGCCTGTAGGTGGTCTTTTGGCTTGCGTTTAAATTTTTAATGTCAAAGCTGCAATCAAGTTATCAATTTTATAGGCTGTACTTTCATTAACAGGTTTTTATTTAAATTCCTTGTCACATTCGACAAATATAACAGAAAAATTTTCGGCCCAATAAAATACGAATTACAGATTATCCAGCAACCAAATTTATCTTTCTTTTGCAACATTTCAAAAGGTTTTCGATTAACACATTATTTTCTAAAGTACTTTCTTACACTATTGATAATGGGAATCACACGTACAGCTACAGTAAAGTATTAAGTCTTAGCCTAAGACTCTTAGGTAAAGTATTTAGGTAAGATTTTAAATTTTTGTTTATGAAAATAATACATACTAACCTTTTAACGACAGCTACCCTGCTTGATGTGAGTGACTATTTGTAATATTTTTCATGACTCTGTATTTTTAATCTTCGCCACCTGAAAAAATAAATAAAACAAATCTTAAAAATAATAACATTGCTTTAACATTTACACACATTTTTTTATATTTAAAACATTTCATTAAATTTTTCTAGGTAACTGATAAATGCAGGACAAAACACCTGCAGTGGCTTTCTATTTATAAAAATCCTGCCTCAACAGGTCGTGCACAAACTAAATAGAGTGGCTCGAGAATCTCAAGTATTTGATATGGGAACGATAACCAAACGTCGCACGTTAACAGAACGCTATTAGTTATTTTTAACCTACTTCAAAAACTTTTTTTATAGGTGTTACCTCATAAATTTTTTCTAAGTGAACCGATTTTGATGAATCTTTTTTATTTGAAAGCTGGTGCTTCACATGTGGTACAGTAGTTTTTGAGTTATCCTTAATAATTTATATTGAAGTCGGTTGTACAAAACTTTTAATTGAACCACTTGTTATTATGTTGTACTCAGTTGTGGTGGTTTTATTCTAGTGCATAGCATAGCGCATACATTATTGAGAAGACCTATTAATAATCAAATGCATAGCGTAATTCAATCATTGACTGACAGAACATGACTGGAACTTAAATCCTTGATACGCGCACATAACACAAATTAGTACAATTAAAAGAGACCAACTAATTGCCGTGTTTTTTTTATAGAATAGGGTGACAAACGAGCACATAGTCCACCTGATGGTAAGTGGTTGCAGTGATCCATAGATATCTACATCTATCCTCAATAAAGAATCAAAATGCAGATGCGTTGTCACACATGAGGACTAAGATAGAACGCGTTTTTCAGTAAAAATGGTCTCCGGTTCTATACACTCACTATACGAAACACAGCAGTGTCAAGCTGCTATTTTACGCTGGTATTGTGTGAGAGCGTGGTCCTTCCCCGGTCGAGCCGACCCATTCATGCTACAACTATACTACTAATATAGCTGCAGCATGGCTCTACCACGTAATTAATATTAAATTTTTAGCGAATTGTATGATACCAATCATAACATAATAATATAATACATGAACACGGATGTCACCCAGAGGGGTAGGCAGAGACTATACACTTCCATTTGGCACGATTCTGACACACCTCTCGCCTTCTCCACATCCATATACCTACGCATACACGCTTGTCGGTTAAGGGTACTCTTAATTTGGCCCATTTTCAATATATCGCCAATTTGGTCGATAAACTTTTAGCTAGGGCCTCTTCCCGACTCTGCCGTTCACCTTTGCAACATAAATTTGCTTTGTCTTTTCTCGTTCATTCTTTCTACATGACCAAACCATCGAAGCATTCCTTACTTAATCCTGGTCACAATGTCATCTTGCAAACCACACTCTTCTCTTATCACACAATCAATCAATCAATATATTCTTCATTGTGTACCAATTTTTTTTTATTTTGATGAGCAAAAGAAAAGCAAAATGAAATATGTTTTTGTTTTATATTATT